GGGAAGGGAAGGGAAGGGAAGGGAAGGGAAGGGAAGGGAAGGGAAGGGAAGGGAAGGGAAGGGAAGGGAAGGGAAGGGAAGGGAAGGGAAGGGAAGGGAAGGGAAGGGAAGGGAAGGGAAGGGAAGGGAAGGGAAGGGAAGGGAAGGGAAGGGAAGGGAAGGGAAGGGAAGGGAAGGGAAGGGAAGGGAAGGGAAGGGAAGGGAAGGGAAGGGAAGGGAAGGGAAGGGAAGGGAAGGGAAGGGAAGGCCAGAGCTTGATGTTTGTTAGCCTGCAAAAAATAATTGTGACACTTTTTTCAAAGTCAATACCGGCTGCATGCAGTCTCCCTTTCCATAAAGCAGAGCATAAATCTCCATTATGGATATCTTGCACATCCCTGAAAACCCAACTCTGGCAGTTGTACCAGTCAGCACTCCTGTTGCAGCTCAGAGCTGACAAAAACAGTAATCTCCACTGCTGCAATTTGTTACGTATCTTTCATCTCAGCCACACCTGGGATATAATGAGAGTTATGTCTAGCCCATAGGTATATTCTCTTTTATCACCAACAGCAAACTGCCCTGTGAGGATATATAGCTCTCCTGGTGATGCTGAGAATCTCGCTGTACCTCCAGCTGCTGCTGAAAAGGAAGAGCTTGCTTTGGCTGCGACACTGGCAGAACACTACCTGTGCTGCTATGCTGTGTGGTCACAGAAGGCGTTTGTCTCAGTTTTTCCTGGACTCTCCACAGTGCTGGCCCCAGAAGCCTATGGCAGAGCAACAAAGGACAACTCTGACACCCACAGCCCACAACACACATGCACCACACCAAGCTCCACCAAAACGCAGTAATGCACACGCTGCTGTGCACAACACAACAGCAGCTCACTCTGCCAATGATGTGGGTCAGCCCCAACAGAGCACTGCATAACCTGTCACCACCGGTGAACCCACACATCTGACTGCACGTGTGGCAGCACCTAACAGCTCCTAAATTGGATATGCCTATGAAACTGCCTCTGCACACTGATTGCTCAAGTGGTCAGGAACCAGGGACCAGAATCAAGTGGACATTTGTGCCCTGAGAATTAATTTATTTTAAACATAAGCCATTATAAAGTTTAACTACAGCACTACAGTAGCACTGCTAGAATACAGCAGTTCGTAAACTTTCTTCTTTGAGAGAACTGTCTACAATATAATGAGAGAATGATGGTTTTTAAGTATGATTTTAATACATGCTGTTATTATGTAACATACCACAAGCCTTTCAGTTTGCCTGACAGGGTCTCAAATGGGTTAAAAAAAGTAGTTTCTAGACTGGTTGCAATTCTATCTGCACTAGTCTGGCATGAGGGCTTTGACCAAGCTAAAAGAAGACCTTTACAGTGAAACAAAATGGCAAGGGATTACAGGGGTTTGCAGCAGCTGCTCGTTCTTTAAAGGAGCTGTGTTGAAAGTATTGCTAAATCGCTTTATTTACATATCATGAATGAATACAAACCTCCAATTTTCTTTAGAATCACAGAATCATTCAGGTTGGAAAAGACCCTTGGGATCATCGAGTCCATCAGCCCCACTCTACAAAGTTCTCCCCTACACCATATCCCCCAACAGCTCATCTAAATGAAACTTAAACACATCCAGGGATGGTGACTCCACCACCTCCCTGGGCAGCCTATTCCACTGCCTGACCACTCTTTCCGTGAAACATTTTTTCCTAATGTCCAGTTTTGTTTGCCTAAGAGTAATATCCTGAATTTGAACAGTGTTTCAGGTGACAAATTTAAGACATTTACAATTATCATCAATAGGGAATAAGACTTCTCTAATCATTTGAGGCAGGCTAAACTGTAGGAGAAATATGGCAAACAGGTAAAAAAAAGGATAAAAGCTGTTCATGGATAAATTTCAGAATTGATGTCTAATTTTCAAGCTGACCATTGGCAGTAACGGTCCAGAACCTCCTGTGACCTTACACCAGAGAAACAATAATCCTTACCATTTTTAAGATGTAGCTTGATAAGCTTTTGAAAGTTATGGTTGTATACAGGCCCAGGCTGGACTCAAGGAAACCCCTTCCACAATCTTATAATGTTCATGTGGTTTTCACATACTACCCACACCTATATAACACTAAACAGTATCGATGTCACATTTCAAAATAGTTTGGAGTCTGTATTTTCTTAAAGATGGACATTTACAATTAGAGACTGTTTATAAAAATATCTCCCTAGACCTGTCAGGTAGCGCGTAATCCTCAAAAGCTGTGGGGGCCAGAGGCAGGTTTTGGGTCCTCCTGCTCCTTACTGTGCCAATAGCTTTTACCCCCACACCAAGTACTTGCAAGCTCCATGGAGGGAGCTCCCCACTTCTCTGGCCACCTCCTGCAGCACGCCTAGCCCCATCTCTGACTCTCCCGTGCCCTTCCTAATGTCGCTGTGATGCTGGGCACGAGACCCACCTCCACACAGGTTGGGCCAGGACACCACTGCCAGTACCTTGCAGGATTTGTGGAAGCTATTTTCAGCTTCTGCCCCCCACTTCAACCATACCCCCATGGCAGAACAGCAGCAGTGGCAGCCAGACCCCATGGCAGAATTTGGCCAGGGCAGAGCAGTGGTGTGACCAGCAACCCTGTCTACATGGCCACCTCCCACCTCGGGGGCTAAATGTTGAGCACGTTCAGCAACAAGTTCATGTTGGACCTCTGTCACCTAAGGACCATTTCCTTTCCATAACCTGTGCCAACAGCAATGAAGCAGTATCCGTTCACACAAAATAAAGGTACTTCTAAATTGCAAAAAACCCACCCAACTCCTCAGATCTCAGAATAATTAGTATGTAGACATGGAAATTCTTAATAATATGTTAACTATTGTTGGAAAGATAATTTGTGGGAGTTCTCGAGCTCCCTGTCAGCACTGCATATCTGCTGGTTGGCATTGTTTAAAAGACAAAAAACTTTAAAGTCTTTCTGCACACCAGCCAATTTTTTATTCAATAAGTCAGCCAGAAGTAGAGCCAAACTGAAAAACTTCTGCAATTTTACGCACCATGGAAACAAGAAACCTGTCAATCTACAATTACCTGTTCTACATCCATTTGAGGTCAACTTTTACTGCAGGAGTATAGCCAAGAGGATTGGATCTACAGCCTGTGTTTGTCCATGGGAGATGGACATAATTTATTTTTTGTTTCATTCTCTGATAAGTACAAATATTAAAACATAACTCAGATTGATGTCAAGGTACATGTTAAACTGCATTACAGTCTAATAAAAGCTATAAACTCTTCTCTTCATGTAATTTCTCACAGCAGTGTCAACAAGAGGACCTAAAAAAATTCATAGTGTTCATCTGTAAATTCCACTGTGATAAAACTGCACACTGATACCCTAAGTGATCTCATATATTCAGATTTTCTTCTAGAGCTGAAATACCGCTTGCTTGAGCCCAATGAAAGCTACTTATTTTTAACAACTCACACTGATTTTGTATTTTTTCCATAAGTGAAACACTGCTACTTTTAAAATTAGAGATAATTTGTCTGATGGACTACTTTAGCCTGAAGGTTTAGTGCGAGTGTTTAATCCACAGCTTTTGTATCTTTCAAATGCTGATGCTTATTTGTGAAACTGTCAAAAATACTTTTAAAATCCTCAATATACCAAGACCTTAAATGTACTCATGTGCTTAAGCATCATGTGCATCTTATTATCCCATTCAGTGGGATTCCCCAAAGCCGTACACAGCTTAAGTGCTTTTCTGTGTCAGGTTTGAAACTCTCATGTTAATTAAGTGTGCTCCGAGAAGAATTAATGGTTAGGACTGCCTACAGCGCTCATGGCAGCTACTAGGCTCTCTAAGCTTGGACTTGCAACTTTATTAAAACAGAACGAGCAGCGATAGCACATTTTCAGTATCTCTAGTGATACAGAATCCAGGCAGAGGCAGGTGACACAGAGAAGGAACGTGGGAGGATTCGGCAGGGCAGATAAAGTAGGAGCAATTCTGTTTCTTTGCAAGAAGGTAGTAGTTGAATGGGATATGTAGCTACTTCTTACCAAATGTAAACTCCAGTAAATCTCTGATTTCACCAGCATGTCAGGTGGCAAACCGGGGCAGTTAAAGTATGATTGAACACAGTTACTGTGTTTACAAAAGCACTAAAATTGGG